GCAGTGTCGTCTGAGGGCCCGAAGACCACGGGCATCCAATAAAGGTCTTTGTCCTTGTCCCTTACGCACAGAGATTTCTCCAGTTTCTCTGAATCTTTTGATGATGTTGTGCACTGTAGATGATGAGATTTGCAAAGCCTTTGCAATTTGACGTTGAGGAACATTGTTTTTAAAGTGTACCACAATCTTTTTACGCACTCTTTCACAGATTGGAGAGCCTCTGCCCATCTTTACTTCTGAGAGACTCTACCTCTCTAAGACATCCCTTTTATAGCTAATCATGTTACAGACCTGATATAAATGAACTTAATTCGTTGCTAGATGTTCTCCCACCTGAATCCTTTCTAAATTTCTTGCTTTTTCAACCATTTGTTGCCCCCGTCCCAACTATTTTGAGACCTGTAGCAGGCATCAAATTTGAAATGAGCTCATTTAGTGGATAAAAGTGTAAAATTTCTTCGTTTAAACATTTGTTATGTTATCTATGTTCTATTGTGAATAAAATATTGGCTCATGTGATTTGAAAGTCTTATAGTTTTCATTTTATTCAAATTTAAAAAACGTCCCAACTTTTCCGGAATTCGGGTTGTAGAAATATAGGTGACTTGACAAAGTCTTGTTTGAAAGTTTTGATGAAACATTACAAATGCCTTGAAGTTTGAAGGTTTATAGGCCTTACAGACAGAAAGAACAATAGATTGAAAAAAAAAAATTAGTAATGTTTTTAATGGTCACTTGTAAGCAAAGCCAGTTGGGACTACTGCGCAATTTTGCCATGTACTAAAGAAAAAAAAATAACTCCAAAAAACAACATGCTACTTTTTGTTATTTGTTAAAGTAGCTATTATGAACTCACATCTGAAGCCAAAGGTCAAATATGTCATTTGCTTTTTCTGGTGCAGGTATTTAAATGAACTATTTTCCTCATTGTTGATTTCCTGAACTCATTGACTTCTGAAGTGAAGGTCAGACCTCTCTAAGCATGTTAAACATTACAAACAAGAGGAATAAAACGTTTTGGTGATAAAATTAGCATGGGCAATTTAGTTTATCTTCAGCATCAAAAAACACAATACCGGCAATTTGAATTCGACCTTACAATTCTTTCACACATCCATGGTTGTGTCACACAAGTGATTGTGGTGTTAAATCATCTTAACCCTTGAGCTGTGTTGAAAGCTATAACATACGGTGGCCGAGACAGCTCAACGCGCTGCAACTGAAGCAAACACATGCAAATAGAGAAAAACGTGTGCAAATAGAAAAAAACGCATGCAAATAGAAAAAAACACATGCAAAAAGAAAAACACGCGTGCAAATAGAAAAAAACACCAGCAAATAAAAAAAAACATCTTCATCAGTTTCACAACACACGTGTGCTCCAAATAAGGAAACGCGCTGCAAAAGTTCACAACACAACCAAATACAGAAAACGCGCTGCAAATAACACAGACCACAACGGAAATGTTTCCAGGGGAACCAAATAAGTGACGGACCCGGCTGAGACGTGCTTATTGCTCGTGCTATGCCATACTCCCTTCGAAGGGCAGATATTAGAGCCCTTTTGGAGTGAGCAAGGCTCTAGTGGGCTGTTAGGCAGCCGTGTGGAGCGCACTTGATGAAGGGAGCAACTAAAGACAACGTGGGATGTTCCCATGACAACGCAGCACGGTGTCCATCAGCTGGTCTAGAAGTATGATGCTGTTAACATAACGGATGCAAATACATTTTTATTTTTAGTTTACAAAAAAGCTTTTAAAATATGCGTTATATATCTGTGTCTCAACTTTAAAATTTTGGACCCTACATTACCTAACATTTCTTACGAAACTTTTCTTTATGAAAATGTAATAACATGAAACAATTTGTACAGTGTAACTGGTGTATAGATAAATATCTTTCCTTCATGTTTTTCTTCTTTATCTTTTTTATTTATTTATTTTAGTTTCCAGCTCATTGTTCTTTTCTCATTTGTATTCTGATGACATTGAACATATTGTTAATACATTTTGTACATTGTATACAAGTTGTATGTCATAAAAAATGTAATCTCTGTATGTTTCGCACAAACAAATAAATAAATAAACAAATAAATAAAGTATAATTTTAAGCTGTAAGCACCAGCACGCATAGATTTATGGATATCAATGCCGGCACGTCCCAGCCGGGTTCGTCGCTTATTTGGTTCCCCTGGAAACATTTCCGTTGTGTTCTGTGTTATTTGCAGCGCGTTTATGTATTTGGTGGTGTTGTGAGTATTTGGAGCACACGTGTGTTGTGAAACTGATGAAGATGTTTTCTTAATTTGCAGGTGTTTTTTTATTTGCACGCGTTTTTTTCTATTTCCATGCGTTTTATTTTATTTGCATGTGTTTTTTTCTATTTGCACACGTTGTTTTCTATTTGCATGTGTTTTCTTCTATTTGCATGCGTTTTCTTCAGTTGCAGCGCGTTGAGCTCTCTCGGCCACCGTAATAACACTTGTGATGTGCATAGTCAAAAATGACCGGCCTGCAAAACAATGCTTATAAATCTCTAGTTATTCTACCTTATCACCAGATATTAGAGTCAATCTTTTTGTCAGCTTGTTTTCTTTCTATTAGGAAAGGTTTTGTATTTATTTTTGGAACTGGTCAATCGTAGGCCTTATTTATCTGAGCTTATGTACCTCAGACTTTGAGTGGAAAAAAAAGCATTATTTTTGTCAATTTTTGTCAACTTTACATAAAATATGAAAAGTTGGCACTGTTTATCATACTATTGTGCTTTAATGATTAACCAGGAAATTTGTTTTGAAATGGTTTTATTTTGTACAAAATGGCATAAAGTCACACTCGTGGTGTTTCCGGTCCAAAATGACAGGCCTACAAAATATAGCTTATAAATAACTCATTATGCTCTTTTTTCACCAAATATTGGATTCAATCTTTTTGTCAACTTGTTTTCTTTCATGCACAAGTATGCATGTATCTACACACGTACAGGTCTGAGGCCTTTATTTTTGCAAGCCCACATGTACATGTAAACATGAACATGATGAACACGCTCCTGAACACTAATTGTTTCTCTGATTTTCAACTCCCCCATTCATTTTCAATTGGCGATCATTTTTTTTTACCAATATAAGCTCAGATCAATGAGGCCTACGATCAATCAGTTTAAAAAAATAAATACAAAACCTGTCCTAATTTAAAGAAAACAACTTGACAAAAAGATTGAATCCAATATTTGGTGACAAAAATAGAATAAAAAGAGATTTATAAGCAATTTTTTTGTAGGCCGGTATTTTTTTACCCTGAACACCACAAGTGTGACTTTGTGCCTTTTTCTACAAAATAAAAGTATTTCAAAACAAATTTCCTGATTAAACATTAAAATAACACTAGTGTGATAAACAGTAAAAAAAAATCATGTTTTACGCAAAATTGACAAAATTATTCACAAATAACACTTTTTTCACTCAAAAACTGAAGCTCAGATAAATAAGGCCTATGATCGATCAATTCCAAAATAAACAAAACCTGTCCTAATTAAAAGAAAAGTAAGGTAAAGCCATTTTGGTTTGTTTGAGATGCGCCTTGCCTCACCTGAAATGAATGCGAGAGTAGGCGGCTGTAGTGAGGGGTTTAAAGTTTTATTTATTATTTGTTCACATTGAATGTAAATAAAAATGTACTTGGGTTCTTCAAGCTCACCTCCAGTGGATTATGTTACAATATTTGGTGATGATGTAGCGTAATGAGAGACTTAAAAGCATTTTTTTTAGCCCGGTAGTTTTTGTTACAATGTGGAAGAAACCACACAAAGAATTACAAAAATTATAAAAACATTGTTGGGAAGTTGTTAGACTCTGGGTGAGTAAAGTCAGTAAATTTTAGTCCAATGCAATAACATTAACTAGCATTTTCGGGTACGGGAAAATCCTCTCCGGATCAAAATGATCTGAACACAACCTAAGGGTAAAAGAAATGTGTTTCTTTTTTCTTGTTCTTTTTTTTTTGTTTTATAAGATTCTTTCTCTGTCTTAGCACATGCTGTCAGATATGAATCATAGCTGAGTCATATCAGCTGTCACATTCTCACAAATAAGCATACTTCACATCAACAATCTGGTGCTAGAAGTACAGCAAAACATTTATTTTATGAAGCAAGATAGTTATCAGGATCCAACAAAATTGTTTAATGGTTTTACTATTTTATTTTTCCTGTAATACCTTTAAAAGATTTTTTTTTTCAAATGCATTCTCTATGGTCCCTTTTGAACATTCTGTTGACTAAGTAACTTTGCAACTACATGTCAACTAACTCCCATTAGAGTATTAGTAGACTGTCTGCTTAATATTTGCTAACTCTTTATTGTGATGGTCCTCCAACAGACATTCTACTGACTATAAGTAACTTTGCAAGTAAATGTCAATTTATTCTAACCCTAACCCTACCAGTCTACTAATACTCAACTAACATTCTAATGTGAGTTAGATGTAGGTGCAACCTCACTTATAGTAAATAGAATGTGTTAAGGGGGAAAAAAGTGCTTATTTGTGAGAATATTTCATGAAATCATGCACTATTAAAAGTATTTTGATGTCATATTGTGCAAGGAACCTTGCTAAAATGTATCGATAATCTGTACCTGTAATCATAATTTTGTGTGAAAATAAATACAATTGGTTGTTTTTTTACTACCACTTGTGTTTATTTCAGCTGTAAACTGCAGTGAAATGTGTGTATAGGTAGGCCTATACATTTTTGCAGTCACGTATTTCCAATGAGCCTGGGTTGTTTGTTTTAATTAGTTTCTGAACATCTGTTGACATGCTGAGACAAAAACAGAACAGAAGTGCAGGAGTCCAGAGAGGCTTGTACAAAGCAATTTCCCTAAGCTCTAAAACAAATTAGTTTTTAAATCTTTAACTGTGACTAAGAGCAAGAATAGTTTATTTTATGCTCTGTTAGTTATTTTATGCTCAAATCTAAAGTCACCTGACCTTTCTCTGCAGTTGCTAACAAGCCCTGCCGCCTTGACCTACCAGGTATGTTCAAGCCCTCAAATTATTGTGTTTTGTTCTGTTCTCTCTTTCTCTTTCTGTGTTTCTCAAGTCTGGCTTATCACTAAAGCTTCATCCAAAATATCTGAACAGCATCCTTCCCCCCTCACTAGAGCCACTCTAAAGGTGTTTTATGACATATGAGCGGTTTGTAAGAACCATGGAAAGAACAAATAATGCTCCTTCAGACGTGTTGGATGTGGCCGGTGAGAGATGTCGCAGTGAGTTTTTACAGGATAGCACTTCCTGTGAGGCTGAGACAAGTGACCTGCTGCTGCCATTAATGCATCCGTCCACTAGTTTATCTGTTTTTGAATGTGCCGCTCACCCTCTAGCTTGTCACCACGTCCCAACCTGTACATCATGAGCTGTGTTAAACACACCCTTTTTGATTTCATTCAGGAAGATAGGGACAAACAATGATGTAGCAAAAATGTGGTGGAATGAAGCTCAAGTGTCTTGTTGTGAGTGCAGTGACTTTGACATTTGTGTGCTGATTTATTGTTTTCATCTTCGGAAGACAAATTAAGATATTTTTTATGAAATCCGAGAGTTTTCAGTCCCTTCATTGGGAGCAACGCAACTTAAACATTCAAGGTCCAGAACGATAGGAAAGACATCATTAAAGTAATCCATGTGACTCCAGTGGTTTAAACCTTAATTTGATGAAGCTACGCAAGTGCTTTGTTTGTGCAAAAAACACAATAAACCGCTATATTTACAAAATAATATTATCTAAAGCATGTTCACAGAACAACTTTCTGTCTTAAGTCAACACAACACATATGCGTCATGGTGCTCCCCCTACTGGATTGCAGGTCAATATTTTCGTAAATATATATATTTTTTTGTGCAAACAAAGCACTTCATAAAATTAAGGTTAAACCCCTGGAGTCACATGGATTACATCATTCTGGACCTTGAATGTGTATGTTGCGTTGCTCCCAATGGAGGGACAGAAAGCTCTCGGATTCCATCAAAAATATCTTCATTTATGTTCCGAAGATGAACAAAGGTCTTATGGGTGTGGAACGACAAGAGGGTGAGTAATTAACAACACAATTTTAATTTCCCTTTCAAAAGGGAACTCTCGCTGCATCCCCTAGAGCAGTGTTTCCCAACCCTGCTTCTGAAGGACCCCAACACTACACGTTTTCTTTGTCTCCCTAATCAAACACACCTGATTCAACTCATCTGCTCATTATCACATGGGGATATATGCAATAATGAGCCGATGAGTTGAATCTGGTGTGTTTGATTAGGGAGACAAAGAAAACGTGCAGTGTTGGGGGTCCTTCAGGAGCAGGGTTGGGAAACACTGCCCCAGACGGCGGTACAAGCATGAGTCTAAACATGACAATGAACATGACATTGACAGGCGGCAGCCTATGACGTCACCATTGGTGCAACCGTGAGTATAAAAGAACACCTGTGAAATACGTCATCTTCTTTCTTATCTTCAGGAGACTGTCTGTTTGAGCGTGTGTCTAAATAGGCAAACTATAGCCAGCAATAGCACTATGAATTTCAGGAAGTGTGTTCATCAGTGTCAGTGTTTCCTGACACCTGATGACACACATGATATGTGCGTTTTGTTCCTGGGCGAGGAGCATGCACGTTCAGTTTCCATGAGGAAGCTTCACTCTCGTTTGTCCCTTTTCTCGAGGTAATCAGGACAGCCATCTCTCGTGGTTCAGGACCCGCTGCAGCTGAGGTGAGTAAGAGACTGAAATCGTGGGGCTCGCAAGTGGAGCTCGCCGGCGAGAGCGAGCTGCAGGATGAAGATGTGTTATCTCTCACATCATCTGATCCAGCAGCGAGATGAGCAGTATGAGGCTGTTGAGATCGAGGATGTCTCTGAGCACTCACAGCCCACCTACCCCACATATGACGAGCTGTTGGACGTTATGTCTCGCAACGTGGAAAGATTAGATCTGCCAGAGAAACATGTGAAGTGTGAGCTCCCTCGCAGCCACCTTGATGAACGCTTCCTTTTGGGATTTAACCACCCAGCTCAAACAAGTCTTCTCTTTCTCCCAGATCTTTACACTGAGGGGCGTAAATCTTGGAAAAAGCCATATTCTGCTTGCCTCCATCGTGCATAGGCAAACTATGCTGATGTGGAGGGGATGCAGGAATATGGTTATGTGTCGATGCCTCTGATAGAAAAGATGCTGGCCAGCTATCTCTCGGTAGGTGAGGCATCCACATTGAAGACGACATTTCTGCCAATTAAGCCGCTGTGTGTTACATCACGTCTGAATGGCAGAGTATATGCGGCAGCCGGTCAGGCTGGGGCGGCTTTGCACACGATGGCTGTGCTGCAAGCCTACCAGGATGAACTGCTGAAGGACCTGGACCAGGGCAAGGGGCTCCCCCCTGAAGATTTGGCTCTCCGTGCACCAAACAGACTGCCGCCGCAGTCGGTCGATCCATGGTAGCTATGGAGAGACATCTCTGGGTAAATCTGTCCGACATCGGGGAGAAGAAAAAAAATTATCCTCAATGCACCAGTTTCGCCTTCCGAGATTCTGTCGAGACAGTGGTCAGGAAGTTTTGGGAGGCGGAGGCGCGCTCAGCGACTTTTAAGACCTTTATACCACGCCGGTCCAGGTCTGAGGACTGGAGGCGAGACCAGAAAGCCCCCCTTCCATCTCCTGACTGAGGTCAGGTGGAACTCTGAAACACTTTTACATCTGACCCTAAAGCTAGACCTATGATGTTTTTGGCAGTATGTTTTTTTATTCCAACATCTGCCTTACTGATGGTTTGGCATTAGAGGCTGGTTGTGAATGCGTTGTCTGACATTGGACAGTTTACTAAGTAGTAGGCTTCAGTGAGCCTCCATAGTTACTGCTTTCTATGGAGCTTGTTATGCCCTCTCACTATGATTAGCGTTTTTGCTCCGGTTTTCGCTTTCTCAGAGCTAATGTTCTGATAGTTCTGTCAGGTAGTTATTCTCTCCGGGAGCCTGCCTGACTGTTTATTTTATGGAAGTATTTTTGGGCATCCGCTTCCTAGAGCTCCCACTGAGAAAGCGTCATCAAGTAGTTCTTGGTAAGCTGTTCTGAGTGTAGGATGTTGCCAGGCCTCCTCTCGCTTTAGAGAGTTGTCATGTAGGGGCCTCCATCCGCAGAGTTCCACCATGCAGTAATGCTGAGTTGTCAGGCTTTTGACCCTCATTGGCCACTGCCTTTAGGACCATGGGCCTCCACTTGCTATAAAAAGTTATTTTAGCCTCCACTCTTTGAGCTTCACCTACATCTGGATCGAATTGATTAGGCTCCACAGAGCCTCCTCAAGAAGCGGTTTTGGGCTCTCTGAGCCTTCTTATCTCTCTGGAGCATTGTTAGGCTTCTTCTTGTTATGAGAATTGTCTTTTGAGGCCCCTGCTTTTCAGTAGGCATTATTTTTAAGTTGTTAGACTCCCCTTTAGCCTTCTTGGCTTCTACTTTTATATAAATTGCTCCTTAGAGCTCCACCTGGAGCAGCATCGAGAGAGAGAGAGAGAGAGAGAGAGAGAGAGAGAGAGAGAGAGAGAGAGAGAGAGAGAGAGAGATAATCGTTATTATAAGGCCTCCAGTGTGAGATACATTGCCAGATACATTGCTGTGGGACTGCTTGTGGAGTACGAGTGCATGGAGGAAAGCATCACCCACACTCTCGTCACTGAGAGTGAGCTGCAGTTTGCCTCTGATTTTTTGGAGGAAATGGAAGAGGATATTTTGGGTACTTTTCATTTCTAATTTGTGCTTGCTCGTTTCCTTTCCTTGCTTCCTTTCCTCACATCTTAGCTCCACCCCCTTAGGATGCGAGGGAAGTGTATCCTCACTCATGACTCCTCAGGAAGCTTTCTCACTCCTCGTTTGTCACCTCCTTGGGGTGCAAATGGAGAATTGAGATGCCCTTCAAGATGGCTGAGTTCGATCGGATTCTGGGTTTTATTTTTTCCTGGAGGACGGAGGAACAAGGAAATGAGGAAGCATTAATTTGAGTATCAAGAAGCACCCCTTGAGACTCCCGTCCCCGCTGGTCCTGCCCATCTTTCCCTGTTCTCATTTTGCCTGTGTTCCTGATCATTATTAGTCTCCCTAGTAATTAATTAGTATTTATGGTTATGTGGTTGTGTTAGTTTGCTCCAGCGATCTCCTGTATGTTCCTTTGTGGATTAATAAAGTAGTGTTTGTTTGGATTCTTCTGCATTATGCGATTACTACATCCACTACAGCCTGACAAAATACCAGACCCAAAAGATATGGATATCGCTTCCATTGACGTTGCCCCAATGGGGAGTTTCCATGGGCCGGCCATAACATCTGTGCCAGTGGGAGTGGCTGATCGATTCCCGCTCACGAACCTATTCTGCCTCTGGTGGGCCCAATTTGCTCTGATTTATCTTCGTTACCACTAGTCCCGTTCAACACAGAGTTGTCTTCGTCGCCACTATTCCTGTCCAGCATAGAGTTGTCCTTGTCGCCACTGGTTCAGTCCAACACCAAGCCCGTTTCCTCACCCAGAATCTGTTCAGTGTTGTGGCGATTCCCTGGCTCTGCCTCATCTCTCCGAGCCCTCAGCTCCACCTTGGCTTGTCGACCAGTCAGATCCGGCTTCTTTCTTTCTTTCTTTCTTCTTATATAGCACAGTTTAATACAACACAAGTTGCCCAAAGTGCTTTACAATCACACACAACATCAGTACATATAAAAAAATATATAAAACAATACATAGAACCGACACAGTTGCAATCGAAACCCCTTCAAGAGAATTCACATGCAGCGTTTAACAGATGTGATTTTAACCTGTTTAAAAGTAGGAAGTGATTTGGGTGATTTAATAGCGAGGGGGAGATCATTACATAGTTTTGGACCCGCTCAAGAAAATGCTCTGTCACCCCTATGTTTATATTTTGTCCTACTCACACATAAAAGATGATGATTCTCCGATCTCAGGGATCTAGGTGGAGCATAAAGTGACAGCATAATGGATATGTACACAGGTGCCTGATTGTGGGTAGCCTTAAACCAGGCAGTAGCCTTAATGTGGGTAGCCTTAAAGCCTTGGCTTCTCGCACCCTCGACTTCACCTGTGACCATTGTCCTTCCGGCTCCACCAGGCTCCCTCGTGAGAAAGTCACACAAACCACGAGAAATCCGATCAGAGCAGTCAGACTGAAACAGATTTCAAGAAATGCAATTTGAATAAGATTTTGCATTTCATGTGCTTTTTTGTCATTCACACTTGCTAAATCTGATCAGATTTCAATCGGATATGCACAAAAATAGTATTTGAACTGATAGTCTGAACGTAGCTTAAGATTTTTTAGTAATTATCCTCGAGTATTTAAGTTTCTTAGTTCATTCAGTTCATTGTCCGGTTGTTTTTGCCATGCATGCAGTTTCGCTTTGTTTGCACCCTTTTGGATATCTGTTTTACTTTATTTAGTAAACCATGATGCTATTTTGGACTACCTCACCCATCTTCATCTTCATTGGACTTAAAATGTGTGACAGAAAAAGTGTTTGAGTAAGTATGTGGGTATTTGATCAAGCTGACAGGAGGAGGAATTAGATTTAATAATCAGCTGTTCAACACAGATGTATTAGTGCAGTCTTTAGTGAAGGACATATCGGTGCGACTGAGATTGTAGTTCTCCGTCTGAAGGTAAATAGTTATTTATGATATTTTTATTCATATGTTTAATGTAATGAATGTTACTATTATGTTATGCACTTATTTCAAGCATGCGTGTATACAAGCTGAAATTATAAAATGGACACATACTTATGTTGTGTTGAGAATCATAGTGTGCATTGGTCTGTCTCTTGATGTTTATGTATGCGGTTGACCTAAGCAACAGCATACATACATTTGCACCTGTGTCTATGTGTCCAGTCTTTGACATGCCTGATCAGACTCTGCATCGGTCAGATCTCTTGTCTTTCTCTAGGTCCTATTTCATACAGATTTAGAAGGTGCAAAGGCAGCACTCCTGGCATTTGCATTAATGGCCTTGTGTCTCGTTTAGGCTTTGAGTATATTGAGTGTGAGAGAGGTTGTGGTTGTGTTTTATGGCTGTAGTGCTTAATGGCCTACTCTTAAAGGATTTTGCTATTAGTAAAGGACTGAAGGCTCTGTGTTTTATTCTATGTTTCTGATGTAGACTCGTATACGTTACAATAAACTCTTTGCTGTTCCTGCAGCTTGCCGCCCAGGTGCTTGATGATCTTGAGGATGAGGACATTGGATTCGGCCTGGTGGATTCAAAGAAAGACAGAGCTGTTGCTAAGAAGCTAGGTAATCTCTGATCCCATCCTATGAATGCATCTGAAATACATAATCTTCCATTTACAGCCTGTAATACAATTCTTACCTTCGGTTTCCAGTAGTCTGTTGAAGTGTAAGGTAGTCCATATAGCTCTGGTCTTCTGAAACTTTGCACTAGCTTTTTTATTTTTTTATTTTTGAGCAACAGACTGAAATTGCATTTGTTAAAGTCATGCAAGTTGGACGTGAGGCTGATTAAATGTTTAACATATGTTATTTGTTGAATATGATGACCGGGAGGAGACATGTTCACTTAGTTTTGTCGTGGCCACGCCATATTAACTAGTTTGAACACAAAAATAAGCCGTGGCCAGACTGGCCACAATATCATTTTGATGAGGTAACAACATCCTTATGTCGTGTTTATGTTGAGGGAATGATATATCTATTTCTCATGGCCACTTTAAATGCGTAAACAACCTGTGCGACCATAGCAATCTGGAATTATTAGAAATGGATAGGCCTATAATACTATTTATTTTTAATTAAGAAAAAGTGCAGAATTAAGAAATGATTATATTGACATGTTGCCTGTTATATTGTATTGTGTGTGATGGTGCCTATACAACAGCATTTGAATGAAGATTCTTATCAATAAATGTTAAAAGAATATTCCTTGTACATTTTTATCTATCCCATTCAACAGTCTTTTAATTCCATTCAAAATCCATACAAAATTGAAACATATAAAATATTTTTTTTTAAATACAAAAGTATACAAAACTAAAATACATAAAGTGCCATGCATAGCAAAAAAATATCATCTCCTGCTATTTTTATTTATTAATTCTATAGCTGCAGGTACAAAAGTATTCCTATGTCGTCTAGTTCTCCACCTAGGGACCACAAACCAGCGGAGGAGTTGAAACTCAGCATGTAAAGGGTGGGAACAATCTCTAATAAGAAAACTCGCCTTACGCTGTAGCTGGTTGGAGTAAAGACCTGCTTAAGTTGTAGTTCACTAATCTTACTAGCCCACTTAACAATTTGGTTCAAATAATTTTTGTTCTTCAAAGACAAGTTACCAAACCACGACGCAAGGGAGAATGACAAGACTGGTTCAATATAAGCCCAATAACAATGTGAAATCTGGACAGCTTTCTGAGGCAAAACAGATGCTGATGTCCAGTTCTTTTCATAAGTCAGTTTAGAACCTAAAGATATTTGTAGCTTTCTACACAATTCACCACCTGGTCCTTTAATGATCGTAGTGTCATTGGAACTAACATCATAGAACTGGAACTAACCATTTTATAAAGTACCATATTATATAATAGCCAATATTTTGTAAATACAACAAATGCTCAACGTTATGCAAGTAAAGCTTTGATTACAGGCCTATGACTTTTTTTATAGGCGCACAGAAATATTACGGGAAGTTCACTTAAATAAAGAAACGATCAGTGAATGGATTTAAAAGGCTGTGAGATCGGATGGATAAAAATTATTTCTTGTAGGCCTATTTTATTTTATGTTCTTACATATACTTTCATAATTTATTGATAATTGATTATAGGCCTATCCAGAGCCGTTGATCACACAGGTTGTTTATGCATTTAACTCGTTGCCATGAGAAATATATGTCGTTCCCTCAGCATAAAGAAGTCGTGGCCACGAGAAAAATATATCGTTCCCCTAACATAATATGGAGGTCACGACTTTACATCGCGTGGCCACGACATGTCGTTACCGCGACAAAATTATCTCAAAATGTTTTATTACGTTCCCACAAGTTAATATGACATTCCCACGAAGTAATATCTCATGGCCATGACATATTATCATGTTCCCACGAGTTAATAACATTCCCACAAATGAATATCTTGTGGCCACGACATATTATCATGTTCCGCTTGAGTTAATATGTTGTGGCCACGACAAAACTAGGAATTGAGCCGAACACGTCCCCTCCCAGTAGTTGAAGGATCTGTTTCTTTAATGCAATTTGCACAAGTATAACATGTTCCTTGATCAATAATCATTTATGTTACTAGAACAACACTCTTATCCTAAACATTAAAGCATTAAAACATTGTCTTCTGATTTTAAAAGTAAAATTAGGGCTATCATTGGTTGATAAATACGGACCATCTTGGGCAAATCATTTCGTACAAATGTTTATATAGTATCCAGACCATCTTTTATCTGTTGAATGAGCCAATCCATCTATCGCCTCTTAAACATTTATCAGACACTTGTTTTCTGCAGGCATGCCGGAGGTGGACAGCATTTACATCTTCGCTGATGACGAGATCATAGAGTACGATGGAGAGTTAGCAGCCGACACGCTGCTTGAATTCCTCTATGATGTGAGTGCTTTATACATCATGATTATAGATCACACACCTAAATGTCACTGGTAATTCAGTAGTTCTTCTATCAGGTGATTGAGGAACCAGTGGAGATCATCAGTAATGACCGAGAGCTCAAAGGCTTTCATAACATCGAGGAGGACATTAAACTCATGGGCTACTTCAAGAGCGAGAAATCTTCACGTTAGTATGCCATTGAGTGTTTGCCATGTACAAACACTGATAAAAGCTCCAAATAATTTCAGGATATGATTCCAGCATAGGTTGTACTTTTTTGTAAATTCATTTTAACAAGCAATTTCCTTAATGCCAAATTTGTTATTTCTCAGACTTCATTGAGTATGATGACGCAGCTGAGGAATTTCATCCCTTCATCAAGTTCTTTGCCACATTTGAGCCAAAAGTAGGTGCTTTCATTCATTCATTCATTCATTCATTCATTCATTCATTCATTCATTCATTCATTCATTCATTCATTCATTCATTCAACTATGACGCCTGTATCTACACACCCCATTTATTAAATGACAAGTAATTAAAGTATGCTTAAAGAGCAAGTAAAAATCTAATACAAATTTAATAATTTAAATTTAAATTGATCAAAAGTGACAGTAAAGACATGTATAATGTTACAAAAGATTTAAATTTCAAATAAATGCTGCTGTGTCACAGAGCTTCCCACAAGACTGCCGGCTTCAACACAACACACATTCAAATTATTTTTAGGATTAAGTAGGAAAACATAAAATTTTAAACTATAAACCCTTGAAAGCAGACTAGAAACCTTTAAAGTGTCCCTGTTTTGCTATTTTAAAAGTTCCTATCGCTTACAGCTTGAGTCAGAAACCAAATACCCATATATGAATTTCAGCTCCGGATCTTCCTCAGCAATTTTATGCAGAATAGAGCTGTGACATAACAGTGTTTATATCCGAACTATAAGCTTTTATTCCAGTAGTTCTGTGATCGTTTGATTTATTGTAACAGAAATATAATGTGTGGTTGAAAAGACTGGGAATCTGTTTCATATCTATAGCCTACATAACAACTGCTCTCACTAGGTCAGCGGCAGCGCCAACACAGATTTGAATGTTCGCTGTAATCATACTTGTCAAAGATTAAATAGACATAGCCGAATTGTTGTCATTTAGGGATAAGATCGCATGGGTGTTTGAATCGAGATCTCGATCTTTTAACTACTAATCATGCAGCTCTAATACAGAGTGAAATGAATTATCAATTCCAGCCCACGTTCTCATCCTTTGATAGTGCATCAAAGTAGATTTGCTTTGGCAGCGCAGAAAGCATCTTCTCGACATGTCGACAACATGAACCAAACTCGATCAAAGTAGGTCGCCGGTCAAAGAAGACGCTGTTCACAGGCAGCCAGTAAAGACCATTGGATGGCTTTCTGCAAATTTGTTATAAAGGTTCAAGCAGGAAGTAAGGCGCTGTCCCAAATGGCACCCTAAACACTTGAGGTCTTACATGAGACTGCACTTTGTAAGTCCACAAGAAAGTGCATAAAGTGTGCCATTTGGGACAGGGCTTATGACTGGAATTACTGACGACTCATTTCAGGCAATTCAGAATCGGTTCTTTCTTTTGGGAGACAATAACTCCATTTATCTGCACTTTGATCTTTGAAACCTTTTACATTCACAAACAGCTTTATCAAAGCTTTATCAAAAAGCTTTATCAAAGCTTATTTTAACATCCCAAAAAGCACAATAGGATTACTTTAATGAGCCCTGTATTCATTCATTGTGTCTGGTGTGCGTAATCTCTGAATGTTTCCAGATTGCTAAGAAATTAAAACTGCAGATGAATGAAGTGGATTTCTATGAGCCCTTCATGAGCAAACCTGTCACCATCCCTGGCAAACCCTACATGGAGGAGGACATCATTAGCTACATTGAGGAACACGACAGGTGAACTCTGAGAAAAACAAAATAAAATCACACTTTTTCTCAAAAGTCCTCTCAGAAGGATGCTTGAATAAAATAATTTTTCTTACTTGTTACTTATTTTTGTATTTATTTTAGACCAACTCTGAGAAAATTGGAGGCCCACAGCATGTATGAGATCTGGGTAAGACAAAGTCAATCCGTTATCCAAAACTAACTTAGTCTATATGGGAATTCAAAATAGTTTATTTGATCTTATTTGCCATTTATGTGCAATATGAGTCTTTTTCATAAATTATGTTTTGATCTTACTGACATCATATTTAGGGAGTGACATTATAAAATTTTTTGACCAAATGGTCCAAACAACAGGTTTGTGTATCAGTAAAAATCCATTTAATGTGAGAGAAAAAAATAAGTGTGATACTATGAAGAATTTAAAAAAATTGTGTGTTTACAAAACTACATGCATTTTTCTCACCATTATAAACTATATGTCAATGAGTAAAATAATGTCAGTTAGTCTCATGGTTTCTCTCATTCTGACCAGTCTTTAGGAAGAAGACCAAAACAGTAATATTATTAATTGTATAATATTATTAAATTACAAATTTTTTAATTTGATCAATGTGAATGTAACAGTTATTATGTTACATTAAACATTTTTTATTTTAATATCTTAAGTGTGCATGCTATCTTTGACTGTCCTAAAATCCTTTTTTTTCCCATCTTTTTTTGTCTCTCAAAATGCACCCCAGTTTGAAAATGTCTCAGGTTACGTATGTAACCCTGGTTCCCTGAGAGGGAACGAGACGCTGCGTTGAGACGCAGTGGGAACGCCCTGCGTGATTGCGTCGTGAAGCACGTGTATAATCAGTTCAATGGAAAAGCGAGACGTCATAGGCGGGTGACGTCACCGACCAGGAAGCTATAAAGCACCCCTGAAAACAGACCGCGTCAGCTTCTGAAAAGCCGAAGCAAGTCTATCACAGGCATGCAGGGAGTATGGCAGGGCGACGCAGCATCTCATTACCCTCTCAGGGAACCAGGGTTACATACGTAACCTGAGACGTTCCCTTTAAAGGGAACTCGAGCTGCGTCGAGATGCGGTGGGAACACCATACCCACAACGCCATAGTAGCAAATGCCTGTCCTGTGTGAAGTCACTGCACACACTAAGGAGCAAGCACCCTGGAACCTGGAGTGGAGCCAAGATCCAAGCCATAAAATCTCACAAATGTATGCGGTGAGGACCAACCCGCCGCATCACAGATGTCATTGAGGGAGACCCCCGACAACAAAGCCTTAGAGGCAGCCATACCCCTGGTAGAATGGGCCCGGACAGCCAAAGGTGATGGCTGACCAGCCGCTTCATAGGCAAGTGAAATAGCCTCGACTATCCACTTACTCATAACCTGCTTGGAAGCAGGGTTACCTTTTCTAGGTGACCCAAAACAGACAAAAAGTTGATCTGAATTACGCCACAGGGCAGCTCTGTGCACGTAAGCATCCAATGCCCGAACAGGGCACAGCAGATGAAGTCTTTACTGATCTGGTGTATTAAAGGGACAGAAGGCCTGCAGCACAATTGGGCCCGTAACGTTATTAGGGACCTTAGGAATATAACCCTGCCTAGGGTGAAGAAAGGCCTTCACCATGCCAGGTGCAAATTCTAGGCATGAAGGAGCAACCGACAAGGCTTGCAAATCACCAATCCTCTTGATAGACGAAATAGCAATGAGAAATAAAGTTTTTAGAGTAAGGAACTTTTCTGAAACCTCTTCAATGGGCTTGAAGGGAGCCAAAGCCAAGCCCTCCAGTACAACGGCCAGATCCCAGGCCGGTGCTCTATTGCGCAATGCAGGCCTCAGCCTCAGGGTACCACGGAGAAAACGAGTAATGAGAGGATCTCTTCCTAATAAAGCACCACTCAAAGGAGTGTGGTAAGCAGATATAGCCGCCACATACACCTTCAAGGTGGAAGGAGATAATCCAGCAGAAAAGCGTTCTTGCATAAAAATAAAGTACTGTACCAACAGGGCAGATAACAGGATTCGTAAGACGTTCTCCGCACCAGGCAGAGAACAGTTTCCGTTTAAAAGCATAGAGTTTTTTCGTGGAGGGAGCTCTAGACTGGAGTATGGTCTCCACGACCTCAGTCGAGAGACCTGATTCTATGAGCTGAGCCCCCTCAGGGGCCAAGCCCACAGTTTCCACAGTTCCGGGCGGGGGTGAAAAATCGTGCCCTCTGCTTGGGACAGAAGGTCCCTCCTGATCGGAATCTCCATGGGAGAGCCGTCTAGAAGGGACACTAGGTCCGAGAACCAAACTCGGGCCGGCCAGTACGGGGCTACTAACAACAGACGGACCCCTTCCCGGCGAACCCTCTCCAGAACTCCCAGGAGCAAAGATATCGGCGGAAAAGCATACAGGTGTAGCCTCGGCCACACCTGCACCATCGCATCCAGCCCGAGGGGAGCTGGGTGCGTGAGGGAGAACCACATGGGACAGTGTGTTGAATCTGACGATGCGAAAAGGTCGACCTGAGCTTGACCGAAATTCTCCCAAAGGAGCTTCAACACCTCGGGGTGAAGTCTCCATTCCCCGGGCCTCAGCCCCTGCCTTGACAGGATATCCGCTCCCTGATTTAAATGCCCTGGAATATAAACTGCCCTGAGAGACAGTAATTTCCCCTGGGCCCATAGGAGGATCTGATGAGCCAGTTTGCAGAGATGTTGTGACCTCAGACCCCCATGATGGTTGATATATGAGACCGCCGACGTGTTGTCCGTACGGACAAGCACATGGTGACCTCTCAGGTCTGGCAGGAAGTGTTTGAGTGCTTGAAACACCGCCATCATTTCTAGACGATTTATGTGCCAGGAAAGAAGATGGTCCTGCCAAAGACCCTTCGCCGAGCGACCACTCATGACCGCCCCCCAACCTGTGAGGGAAGAATCCGTCAATAGCGTTACGCGTCGACAAGAAGCCCCCAACACTGGGCCTTGGGCGAGGAACCGAGGTTTGTTCCACATGACCAAGGCACATAGGCATCGCCGCGTGACCTTGATCATGCGAAACGTATTTCCCCTCGGAGAAAACCCCTTGATCCTGAGCCACCACTGCAAGGGTCTCATGTACAGATGGCCAAAAGTTACTACGTTGGACGCAGCTGCCATGAGACCCAACAGTCTCTGAAACCGTTTCACAGTGAGTGACTGGCCTAGTTTTACATTCTTTACGGCTGTGAGAATCGAAGAAATACGAATTGGAGACAATTGTGCTCGCATTGTTGTCGAATCCCAAACTACACCTAGGAAAGTGGTCCTCTGAGAAGGGAGGAGCACACTCTTTTTGGTGTTGAGCCTTAACCCCAGCATCTTCATGTGAGACAGAACGACATCTCGATGCCGAACTGCCATCTGCTCGGATTGAGCTAAAATCAACCAATCGTCGATATAGTTCAACACGCGGATGCCCTGGAGTCTCAAGGGAGCCAGAGCTGCATCCACGCATTTCGTGAAAGTGCGGGGTGATAAACCTAGGCCAAACGGAAGAACCCGATATTGGTATGCTTCTCCCCCGAAAGCAAACCTCAGGAACTTCCTGTGATGAGGATGGATGGAAATATGGAAGTATGCGTCCTTCAAATCAATCGGTACAAACCAGTCCTCGGACTGAATCTGTGAAACAATCTGTTTGAGTGTAAGCATTTTGAACTTGAGTTTCTGAACCCTGCAGTTTAGTTGACGCAGATCTAGAATCGGACGCAACCCCCCATCCTTTTTTGGAACAATGAAGTACCGGCTGTAAAACCCTGACTCCCTGCTGGTAGGAGGAACCCTTTCTATAGCCCCCTTTCGTAGAAGAGTCAGCACTTCCTGCTCCATAACCAGAGCCTGCTCGGGGTCCACCACGGTTGGGAGGACCCCCATAAATCTGGGCGGACGAGAACCGAACTGAATTCTGTAACCCCCCTCTATTATATGCAGGACCCAACGAGATATATATTGCTATAGTTTCCACGCTGCCAGAAATTCTACTAAGGGTACCAGTCTCTCGAGACTGGCCTCTGGATTTAATCGAACAGCCATTACGGTGCCCTGTAACGGCGAATCGGCAGGGAACAACCGAACTGACTGTTCTATGACCCTCCTCGGAGGATCGTTGAGAAATGCAGGCACCTCGGCGCCCTGAAACGGCGAACCAGCAGAGAACAACCGAACTGACTGCTTTACGACCCTCCTCAGAGGATCGCATGGGGACGCTGACACCTCGGTGCCCTGAAACGGCGAACCGGCAGGGAACAACCGAACTGGCAGCGCTGTGACTCTCCTCAGAGAATCGCCCCCCAGAGGGCGCCGAGGAGGAACGATTTCTCGAAACCGTCCCTCCCCGGAGGGGATCACCCTCAGAAGCCTGATAGCCTTGTCGTCAGGACTTCTTCTTTGTCGCAACCTTTTTAGAGACGATGACAGTCCCCAGATCTTGCCTGCCTCTAACCGGCTTTGACTGCGAACGCCATCCAGGCGCCCCTGATTGAGGAGGAGCCCGAGGGGCGACGCTTTGTTTCTGTTGCACACGGTGCTATGAGGAGCTAGTAGATGGCCGATACTGCCCCCGCCCAGCAGTCTCATGGATTTTAGATCGGTAGAAACCTCTGGAACGCCGCTGATTGTTTTTTATTCTCCTGAAATCTATCGACGACTGTATTTATAGCGTCGCCGAATAGACTTCCAGGAGAAAGCGGAGCGTCCAGAAGAACAGACCTCTCTCTATCTTTGATATCAGAAAGATTTAACCATAAATGACGCTGGCACGGAGAGACAGATCTGTTGCGCGACGCAATTCTCTTATCCTCCCGACGAGGAGGTTGTGATCTTGATGGAAGGAATCTCTCATCTAATAAACTCTTTTTATTAGCATCATCACGTTCCTCGGCTGGCCAGTCAATATTTAATTTAGACACAGCACGAGTTATAACCTCCAAAAGCTCCTCATCAACAGAGGTATGAGGCGGCAAACTCTCATAATCCCCTGCATCAATGCTGGCGACATCCAATTCCTCAGAACTGGATAGTCGCAGCATTGGTGCCTCATCTTGAGGAGAAGAAACCGTAGCGCGTGCTTCTCCCTGAGATAAGGCACTGGATCTTACAGGTGAAGGCTGAGATAGGGCAGAGCCCGTCTCAAACCCTGCTGTTAGATCCATTTGCGAACCCCAAGATGTGCGTCGACGCTGTGCCTCGGCAGCAGCGGAACCCGCACCTCGGGGAGCGCGCACCGAACCGTCCTCCTCAAAGAACGCCCGGCGGGAGCGTCCTCACGGACAGCTGTTCGCAATGCACACAGTCAGCTCCCTCGAGAACTGACTGGGCATGCTCCACTCCCAAACAAGCCACACAAAGCTGATGTGTGTCCCCACCCGTGATGAAACGAGGGCAGGGAACAACACAACGCTAGTACTCTTGTTTCGCCATAATATATATATATATATAGATAGATAAATACTGTGAAATATTGTGCTTGTAACGACAGACAACAATAAATAGACAGGGACAGTATACAGTAGGGATGTGCATCTCCATAGCTGAGGCCGATGCATAGCCAACGATACGATACATTAAAGATACATATAAGCAGCTACCGATGCGATGCAATACGATTCACTACTCTTACGATGCGGTGCGATCCGGTTTCGATTCGATTCAACGCGATGTGATTCAATGTAATACGATACAATGGAGAAACATATGATGCTATGCAATTCAATCTGGTATAGATAGTTAACTTTTATTTCTTTTATTCAGACATACAGCAAATCATAAAGTAGCTTAAGTGCCATCTGAATTTTAACGCATGGTTCTTTCATATTTTTTCACAAAACCAAAAGATTAAATAAAAGCAGGTGCTGTTTTAACATAAACAATGATAAAAATAAAAAAAACCTTTCACAAACAGGTATTTCATAACTGTATTCAGATGTAAAAAAATATGTATGGAAAAACTGTTATTGGCAGTCACAGGCTGCTGTAAACCAGATTAACTTTTAGGGTTTAAGGTTTAAAGGTAGGTGACTCTCAGGACACGCCTCGTACTCTGTAGTGTTGTGATACGTCATATTCATGTACCAGCTGCAGCAGTCGTGATGGTCGTGATGAGAGAACGCGCTTGAGCAACAGTTCAGAAAGGAGAAATCAATCTGGTCGACCTGGACGCGCGAATGAGGCGAAATCGTGTCCAATGCACAGCGTTAAACGCGTCTCGCACCGCAGGACCTCCAGACCCGCGTCAACGCGTCTTTACATTGACTTAACATGGAAATCACTCGCTACAGACGCTCAATTTGCGTTCGGTGTGAACGCAGCAGTTAGGCCTAAATAATAAAATATTGGTCACAAATGGTTGGTCACTTTCTAAATAGTAAAAGTATAGCGCATCTACTGATAATTATATATGAATAAATAGTTTTTTACCGATGCAGATATGTTAGAAATGCGTGGATATTTAAATCGATGCATCGCATCGTTAGCTTTTATGCCGATGCACCGATGCGAATCGGTGAATCTTACCATCCCTAGTATACAGAGAGCGCTTGCTGAAGGCACAGAAGCTGACGCGGTCTGTTTTCAGGGGTGCTTTATAGCTTCCTGGTCGGTGACGTCAACCGCCTATGACGTCTCGCTTTTCCATTGGACTGATTATACACGTGCTTCACGACGCAATCACGCAGGGCGTTCCCGCCACGTCTCGTCGCAGCTCGAGTTCCCTTAACAGGGAACAATTATTTTCACTTATTTACACAAACTTACATTTAAATGTTTCTGGTTTGTAATGTTTCTGATTTTTATAATGGTTTTTAATTAGAAAAGGGTAGTAGAGAGTCATTATGGCAGCATCCAGTGATTGCTCAGAAAATGTTGATGTCTTATCATTTATTTTCTGTAACACCTGATAATTATCATTATCATGAACGTTACTGTTTTCTGTTGGGCTTAGGAAGATGATATTGACGGACAGCACATTGTTGCTTTTGCTGAGGAGTCTGACCCTGGTAAACACTGATTTGAGTATAATAAGCCACTATTTTTAAAAGTCTTTTAAAGGATTTCATATACTGACTTTTCATGACTCCAAATGATTGAATGTTGACTTTTCCCAGACGGTTATGAGTTCCTGGAGATCCTGAAGGAAGTGGCTCAAGAAAACACAGATAACCCAGATTTAAGCATAATCTGGATTGATCCTGACGACTTTCCACTGGTATTACAAACCACTAGAATACTGTATCCAGAAACATTAAATATACCTTTGATAACTCCAAGAACATAGTTTTGAATGATGTACCTTTTACAGTCCATCCATTAAATGCCTTGGATAAAATGCAGATTTATTTATTTTTTTCTGTTGGATCTTAACAGAACTATATTTTTGATATAATTTTTACATTTGTCATCTGTGCTATTGTTGTTTTAGTGGATATACTTTCATAATTCCTAAAATAAATTGAATGGCTTTCACAATACATTATATCAAATATACAACGCATAATATGTTCAGCTGTTAAAATTTCATGCTAATGTAATGCACTCTTATAAATGACATTTAGAGCAGGTACTTCGGCACTCTGCCGATCTTTGTTTGTCTCTGCTGCCCTCTATAGGATAAAAGTGACCTCTGAATGAGTTTAATGAGTAAGGTTCTATATGTAGCACACATCAGCTCTAAAAACCTCCAAGTAAAAAGTTTTTTTTTTTTTGGTTCAAAAAGATATGCCAATCAAATAAGTTGTATTTATCTTTGTGGAATTTTTATGGAGCAGTGTAATTTCTAAAAAAAATCCATTCTCCCTTATGAAAAAATGGCGTACTCACAATTACAATTTAAAGTTTTGCAAGAGTGAACGCTCATTTACAAATATGACATTTCACAATGAACTACCGTACCAGTACTGTACTGCACCTTATGAACCGAGGTTTGACCTTTGACCCCTCTTTACCCCTGCAGATGTTGCCGTACTGGGAGAAGACCTTCGGCATTGACCTCTCGTCCCCTCAAATCGGTGTGGTGGACGTTGAGGATGTGAGAACATAATTTTCTTTAATGTCTCTAATGCCGGTGATCATGCCAGTGCAATTTAGATTATACAGTGGGGAGAACAAGTATTTGATACACTGCCGATTTTGCAGGTTTTCCCACTTACAAAGCATGTAGACGTCTGTAATTTTTATCATAAGTACTCTTCAACTGTGAGTGACGGAATCTAAAACAAAAATCCAGAAAATCACATTGTATGATTTTTAAGTAATTAATTAGCATTTTATTGCATGACATAAGTATTTGATACATCAGAAAAGCAGACCTTAATATTTGGTACAGAAACCTTTGTTTGCAATTGCAGAGATCATATGTTTCCTGTAGTTCTTGACCAGGTTTGCACACACTGCAGCAGGGATTTTGGCCCACTCCTCCATACAGACCTTATCCAGATCTTTCAGGTTTCGGGGCTGTCACTGGGCAATATGGACTTTCAGCTCCCTCCAAAGATTTTCGATTGGGTTTAGGTCTGGAGACTGGCTAGGCCACTCCAGGACCTTAAGATGCTTCTTACGGAGCCACTCCTTAGTTGCCCTGGCTGTGTGTTTCGGGACGTTGTCATGCTGGAAGACCCAGCCACGACCCATCTTCAATGCTCTTACTGAGGGAAGGCGGTTGTTGGCCAAGATCTCGCGATACATGGCCCCATCCATCCTCCCCTCAATACGGTGCAGTCGTCCTGTCCCCTTTGCAGAAAAGCATCACCAAAGAATGATGTTTCCACCTCCATGCTTCACGGTTGGGATTGTGTTCTTAGGGTTGTACTCATCCTTCTTCCTCCAAACACGGCGAGTGGAGTTTGGACCAAAAAGCTCTATTTTTGTCTCATCAGACCCCATGACCTTCTCCCATTCCTCCTCTGGATCATCCAGATGGTCATTGGCAAACTTCAGACGGGCCTGGACATGCGCTGGCTTGAGCAGGGGGACCTTGCGTGCGCTGCAGGATTTTAATCCATGACGGCGTAGTGTGTTACTAATGGTTTTCTTTGAGAAGTCATTCAGGTCATTGACCAGGTCTTGCTGTGTAGTTCTGGGCTGATCCCTCACCTTTCTCATGATCATTGATGCCCCATGAGGTGAGATCTTGCATAGGTGTCTTTTATACAGGTAACAGGTTCAAACAGGTGCAGTTAATACAGGTAATGAGTGGAGAACAGGAGGGCTTCTTAAAGAGAAACTAACATTCTTACTGGTTGGTAAGAGATCAAATACTTATGTCATGCAATAAAATGCAAATTAATTACTTAAAAATCATACAATCTTACTACATGCTTTGTAAGTGGGAAAACCTGCAAAATCGGCAGTGTATCAAATACCTGTTCTCCCCACTGTATTTTTTTTTTTTTGAAATAAAGGTTCTAAAAGAGGGTTTTTGCAGCAGTGTCATAGAAGAACCATTTTTGGTTCCCCAAATAACCTTTGCATTTCCCCACCTAATCAATTTTGAGGGCATTTTATTAATTTTGGTGCCATTTTTTGCCTTGCTACAAGAGAAACATCACTAATCGACAAAACACTGTGATAACATTAATAATTATGTATTGTTTCCCATCATTACAAAGAGGGACGTACTTGACATTAACGCACTATGATTTGAAAGGAAAAGGTCTGTCTGTCTCTTTCTCAGTAACTGTCTCGGATTCATGTTGTCTGTCTGGTTCTCAGGCTGACAGTGTGTGGCTGGAGATGGATGATGAAGAGGACATGCCCACCGCTGAGGAGCTTGACACCTGGATCGAAGATGTGATGACTGGCAAAATCAACCCTGATGATGAAAATGACGATGTTGATGACGATGATTATGATGATGATGGTGAAGATGAGGATGAGGATAATGATGATGATGACAAGGATGATGATGATGATGATGATGATGAGGATGATGAATAAATTCTTACCTCTATCTCAGGCATCACTTCACTGTCATACGCGCATGTTTGTGACATTAAGAACTCATTAGTCTCTCCGTATTCATGCCATGGCAAACTGAGCTGTTCTGTCTTGCAGTCTGGAGGACTTGTGACACATTTTGTCTTGTCTCGTTGTTTAACTACTCTGCACCAATATACTCATTCTTCAGAAAAAAACTAAACAAACATTGTATTTGGGGATCACTGCACCTGTTTTTCTGCCCATGTAACATCTACTGAGAATATGTGTGTGCTAAAGAAGCATGTGTTTGTTAAACAATAGAAAAGCCTTGTAACAACTATTTTGATATTTGTATTGACTTTTTAGAGCAGAAACAAGGATGCTCTTTGGAAAATCTGAACCTTCCATCATCTGGAATGTCTCAAATAAAATTAAAAGGAAAAAAAATTTTTTTCTTTGTTTTTGTCCAACATAAATGCAACAAGAAGAGACAGAAAGAAATTGTCACTGATTAATAATCGTCATTTGTGTGTGTGTGTGTGTGTGTGTGTGTGTGTCCACAAGGATAGTAAACTTTGACCTAATGGGAACTTCGTTTTCTTTTGGTGCCCATGAGGAAACCGCTTTTAAATCATACTAAATTTAGTGTTTTAAAAAATCTACAAATGCAGAAAATTTTCTGTGATGGTGCAGGTTTAGGGGTAGGGTTAGTGTTGGGAGATATAAAATACAGGTTTATCACCATAGAAAGCAAATATTGAAACACTGCTACACAACTGAATCTAACACATTGCAACAATTTGAAATAAAAATTTATATATTGTTGCTAAGCCTATACAGTACATTTTATTGGCCTGCCTATAAATAACTCTGTAAAACCTTTATAAACTGTATGTTAATCTTGTATTTTTCATGTAAAATTAACATGCATGTTAAAATCAATAATCACTTAAATAATTTAAATAATTAAACAAAGTTGACAAAATATTCTACGATTTTTATGTTTGGGTTTATTATATAGACTTACCCTGCATGTTCTTCCTGCACATTTACACATATTTGTATGCATCTGCATAGACATTATTAGAATTAGAATATAGAATTATGTCCCCATGCACATTCATGGGAAACATATTTCCCAGGCTCATGCAGTGTTTTCCTTCAATATGTACATATATGAAAGAAATGTTAAACACATGTTATACACATATATAGAAACTAAATCGTTACTTTTATGTTTTTGTTTATCACAGACATATTAAAAGCTCCAGCGTAAGTGTATGTATATGTACATATATTGTATACAGTACATATATTTATGTTCATATATACTGTATATCCCCACAATATGATGCCACATCCTTCACCAGGACACATTCAACACACATGATGATGTAGCGTCTGGACCAATCAGACACACACAAATTATTCATTATATTTAATGTACAATCCGGCAAACCCACTCTCCTAACAAACTGTGTTAAATTGGTCATATAATTGTACATGCACTTTTTCAAGGTGATTGTACTGAAATGTGTCTTGGCAGTGCCTGTACACAACCATCATATAATGATAAAAATCCATCCAGTGTTTTTGTTTTAATCTCCTTAAATGTTTTCCCCTGCCTCAAATTGAGCCGTTCGATTTTGTGACTCACTAAATCGGACGCCCCTCCCACGATTGTTGATTGACAGCAGCGTGTCAACACATCCCCGCCCTGAGCGAGCTGTCATCATAGTTCGTCATTGTTGATACGCTGCTGTCAATCAACAATCGTGGGAAGGGCGTCCGATTTAGTGACGTCACAAAATCGAACGGCCCTCCCACGATTGTTGATTGACAGCAGCGTTTCAACAGATCCCCGCCCTGAGCGAGCTGTCATCATAGTTCGTCATTGTTGATACGCTGGAGCAGAATGGCGTCCAAGCGATTGTGGTGTTCTGTTCTTGGGTGTAATAACGAACACAGAGTCATTTTTATGTTCCTAAATCCGAACCGCCGAAGACACAGTGGGTGAGTTTTGTTTTCGAAGAGAATATTCCCCACAAGCAACGTCAATGCTTTCATGTTTGCGCGATTCATTTCTCACCAGACTGCTTTATAAACGAGGGTCAGTATAAAGCTGGTTTTGCTAAGAAGTTGCTCCTGAAAAAAGAATCGGTACCAACTATTCGTGTTCCTGCTGCACCTCCAGAAGAAGTGAGTGTAAAGTTTTATTAATCTTTATATTAATCTTTGCAAATCGGGAAAAAAAGTTATTCATGACCATTAACTGTAACATCAATCTGTCAATGACCTAACCTATAGATCAGTAAACACATAGTGTTCGTATCTCACTACTCTACCCTGCCAGTACATACAAAGATAGATCAAAGTGACATTACGTTAACCAACCATTCAGTAACGTCCTGTTCGAGCCTTAATTGTCGAACTTCCTTGCGGCCGTCATCTTGTTCCAGGTGCGACTCTGGTTCAAACTGATACGATTGCACAGATGTGTACTCAGAGTTCTATGTGGAAACCATCCCTCGAAAACTGCAACTAACATCCCAATTGAAGCGAACACACAGGCTGGTGTCTGGTTACAGGACACATGAAGACTGATAAAACTGTTTATGACCAGAAGGAATTTACAGAGTTGTGACTCTCACTTAATTCTCGTTGAAAATGACAAATAAACCCTTTTAATACTATTTTCTGGCCTAACCACTTGAGAAATGTATAAAAATGTATCCAATTTTCCCACCTCATGATTTCCCTTGGGTTTGGACTATATATTAATTCAAACTCTTTTGGATTAATGTTTCAGAATTGCAAACTAGGTTAACAAAAATCACGTTTAGCATGTTTGGGATCTATGACCTCCAATTTTTGATCCTTATTTGTTAATTTAATGCTAACTCAGTGACAATCAAATTACATATGCAAATGCCCCGGAAATGACAAAGGATCGTAAAGTTCCCCTCCAAAGGAACAACTTATTGACTCGCCCACCTCCAGAGGGTGTGACACTTTAACCGCCAGGGGGTCATTGTACCTAAAACCGCCAGCAGGTAAAATTTACCCACACTGTAAAAAAAATCCTAATTTCACAGAAAATAACTGTGATTTTTTGACGATCATTTTCTTTCATTTTAAATTGTACTCAAAACACTGTAAAATTACAAATAATATCTGTAAAATAAAATTGCAACTGTTATTTTAGGTATTGTGACATTAATGACAAATTCCAGTCATTCACACTTTTTATACAGAAAATTGATTGTATTTTTCCTACTGTATTTTTTCTGTTTTCTTATATTACATAAAAATGTATGTAACATTACAAATATAATCTGTAATTAAACAGTAACAAAACAGTTAAATGATAAAACGGTTAAATGACTGGCAGCCCAAAAAAACTGTAACATTAAAGTAAAACATCATAAATTAAATAAACTGAAAAACACTGTTATTTACAGGTATTTCCTGCATTATTATGATCAAATACCTTCATTGTAAAAAAAAATCGTTAAAAAAGGGTCAAATGACTGGCAGCTATGGCTGCCAAACAAAAAACATAAAATTAAAGTAAAATATTCTAATTTAAATAAACCGAAAAAACACTGTTATTTACAGGTATTTCCTGCATTATTATGATCAAATACCTTCATTGTAAAAAGAAATCGTAAAAAAGGGTCAAATGACTGGCTGCCAAACAAAAACCATAAAATTAAAGTAAAATATGCTAATTTAAATAAAGTGCAAAAAAACTTTAACAGAAATTTGATGTCACCATGATTGAGATCAGTGTTTGCTTTAGTTGGGCTCTTGACCCTTGAGTTTTTAACATTAGTTTTTCTCTGGGTGCTTTAACTGTGTTTTTGATACACATTTGTTATAGCAATAAATGCAGGAGAAAATATCTGATGATGTTGGTCATTTATTGATGATGTAATAGTCATCATATAGTGACCTGATTCACTGACATGACAGTGAAATTTCTGAATATGTTAGTTGAGAATACATTATATATAGATTGACTTTAGTTTAAAACAAAGTCTATTATTAATGTCATAATTTTTCCCTTGAAATATTGAAACATCAGTATTATAACAATCTGAAATTAAAAAAAAAAAATTATTATAAAGAAAATGTTTTTAGCTGAATTATTTTTTTAGGAGTATAGAGACATCAATAATCAACATATGAATCTCAACAATGGTGACAATCAACAAAGCCTTTATGTGACTTTTATAGTAGTTCAGAGTTGATCACCATTGTTGTGATTCATACGCTGATTATTGATGTATGTGTGAGTCTGTATGATCCTGTCAAAACATTTTCTGTATAATGACTTCATAAAATCTTAGTATCACAGCACTGCATGATCTTCTATAGCAGTATTGGCATGCAAAATTAACAATTAATATTTAACAACTTAGTCAGATATTACACTTCAGGTGGTATCAATAATCCATGCAACTACATGATGACTATTATCATTAATAAGTGACCAAGATCTTCTGATCTGAGTTTCTCTTGGATTCCTACCATAACAAATATGTATCAGAGACAAATAGTTAAAGCAGCCAGAGAAAAAGTAATGTTAAAACTAAAGGGTCAAGAGCCCAACTAAAGCAAACACTGATCTCCATCATGGTGACTTTATTAACTTTATTATTTTCAATAAAACATCAACTTCTAAACCTCTGTTAATTCTCAATAAGAATGTTAGTATGAGAGAAATAAAGTCTGGATTGTAATAAGTGAGGATGCAGAGATCTTGAGAGATCTGTTAGTGTTTAATGTTCTGTTGGGATGTAAATTGTTTCTGTATGGTGTGTTTTGTGTGTCACCATTGTGTTGAAGAGTAGAGCCTGTGCTTCAGTCCAGGATGAGCAGAATAACACTGATGAAATGCTGCATGTTGCTTTATTTAACTGTCAGTAACTGTGTAGTTGCTGATGCAGTGGCGTATATTCACAGTAAATCATGCATGTAGTTATCTACATGTTTTTTAGTAAAAAATTCAGGAAATTTGTGAAATAA